ATAACTATTTGTTGTAGGATCAGTCCTGGGCATTGTAGAATGTTTAATAGTATCCCTGGCCTCTATCTAATAGATGCTAGTATACCCCTCCCCAAGTTGTGACAACCAAAAATGTCTTCAGATGTTGGCAAATATCCTCTGGGTGGAAAACTCCCTCTTGAGAATCACAGTTCTAGAGCTTTTTTGACTTGAGGGTCCAGCACTTCATAGCACCAGAACTACTTTATGGAAATTTAGTCATTGGTTCCTTGTTAGTGTCAGATTCATAAGAGTTTATTCTTTTATGGTCTTAATAGTAAAGTTTTGTTACTTATAAAAATAACTTATGTCCTGCTGCTGCAAGCATATATAATTTTAATCTCTTTTGTCACCAGGAGACCAGGAGGTAATGAACAAAGCCAAACTTATGTATGATATCATTTGTGATTAGAAATTATCAAATTAACACATTCAGCATTTGTGAGGCTTAAATTATGGCTCAGACTTTTGAGTTTGGGCCACTACGAACTCCTCTGGGGTGCCCTGCAGGTAGGTGACCAACTAACTCACTCTGCGGAATTCAGAATATGATCCTAGAAAATCCATGGTTCTTGGATTCTTGGTTGACCAAGTCAGGTAGGAATGATAGTAATTGCTATAGTTTATTGAGTGCTTACTATGATCTAGGCCCTCTATTAGGATCTAGAAATATTTATCTCATTTAAAACTTACAATAATATTATCTTCATTGTATAGATGAGAAAATAAATTTAGAAATGCAGCTTAACTGTCTCAATATACAATTGTAGTGGTAATTCTGGGACTGATACCGAGACCATTCTGTTTCCACCACTGCTGTCTGTATATCCGTTCAACTCTGGGAGTCTGGGTTATGCAGACACTTCTTTACCTCACCAGTGCCTGAGTGATACTAGGCATTAAGTTGATGCTCAGAAAATTTTTTGGCAGGAAAGAAGAAAAAGAAGAAGGGAAGAAGAAAGTCTACATTTGGCCAGGAGTGGGGGCTCATGCCTATAATTCAAGTACTTTGGGAGACCAAGGCAAGAGGATTGCTTAAACCCAGGAGTTTGAGATGAGCCTGGACAACATAGTGAGACCTTGTCTCTACAACAATAAAAAAATTAACTGGGTGTATTGGTGGGTGCCTGTGCTCCTATCTACTTGGGAGGCTGAGGAAGAATTACCTGAGCCCAGAAGGTCAAGGCTGAGGTGAGCCATGATGGAGACTCTGACTCAAAAAAAAAAGAAAGAAAGAAAAGAAAAGAAAAGTTTCCATTCTAGCTCCAGGATTTTGCTGATCATTGGATTAGTCTTTGAGATCTCTGAATCACTGGGGCAAAAGCATAACAGTAATTGCAACAATATGGCACATTTCCCATTCTGATTTCTTGAATACATTTTGAGAAGTGTTGATATAATGTTTATCTTATTTTTTTTTTGAGTTGGAGTCTCACTCTGTCGCCACTGCAGCCTCAACCTACTGGGCTCTGGCGATCCTTCCGCCTCAGCCTTCCGAGTAGCCAGAATTACAGGCATGCGCTACCATGCCCGGTTGATTTTTTGATTTATTGTAGAGATGAGGTCTCGCCAAGTTGCCCAGGCAGGTCTCGAACCCGCAGGCTCAGGCAATCCACTCACCTCAGCCTCCCAAAGCGCAGGATTACAGGCTGAGCCACCGAGCCCGGCTTGTTTATCTCATTTAATTGTCAAAATATTTCTGTTGTAGGGCACCTGAGGTCATTTGCTGGAGAGTGACTAGAACTACTAAAGTGTAGAACTACTAAACTGAAAAGAGACGAAAGAACTACAAAAGAGATGTGCACGTTATGACTCGATTGTAGGAATAAAAACACTTATCAAAAATCCTCTACCATATCACAAAGATTCAAAAGAAACCAAGAAAGGAGAACTAATTTTTTCTTCGGTACATCATGCAGAACACTTGATAGGAACTGCTGGTCAGCAGCTATAGGAAAATATTGCAACCTGATTGCTGTTTTAGCTCGCTTCTGCTTTTTAAAAAAATTTTTTTATTTTTTTTTAACTTTCTCTTCCTGGGTATATTTTCCTAGTAAAAATTTTAAAATAAAATTATTTAATTTCACTTCTCTTATTCATCTTCTTCTCCTTAAAAATAAATGACACAGTTAAAAAAAAAAAAAGAACAGAAAATGTCTCAATGCTGTTGTGAGGTATACTTTTTATAAGGAATGTAGAGTTCCTTCTAGATAGTTCCTCCCAGACACTTGACTTGACTTCCATATAACTTCATGAAGTGTTTCCTTTTAGAAAGCAAAACTCAAGCTACCATAACACTAAAGTCAACCTCACTGAGAGGAGTTTGTAGAATCTTTATTTACTTCTAATCTGTTGCAATCTGTACCAAAATACATCTAATAGCATTGAGCAACAACTTTCTAAAGTATTCTCTTTTTGGACTCCTCTTGCACAATCTTTCTTAAGACTGAGAGCGCTGAACATGTATGTTTCTTGTACGTTTTTACTTGTTGCAAACCTGGTTAACTTACACAAAATTCCTTTTCGCTTTTACCTTTTCATCAAAGTAAAAAACTCTGTCTCTTTCCAGGATTTCTGCTGCACTTTTCTTTAAGAAAAAGGAATGCTGGAGCCTAATGACACAGACTCATTCACATGACTAAAGAATTATGTTTCTGTTGGTGGGGGGAGCTCAGGTTGGCCAAACAGAAATTTGAAAAATACTTTATTAAAATGGAGCCAAGGGACCCTACCTGAAATGTGCTTGCATTAAGCAACAAGTACTTTTTTGAAAGTCTGATTAGAACAGTAATCATAATAATGATGATGCTGATGGTGACACATTTGAGATGGTATTCATCACTGTGGAAGGCAAATGCCCTCCCTCAATGGGATGAAGCAGTTCCTCCACTGGTTAGTTTTACTTCCCTTGACTTGTGCCTCCTGGAAGGAGCCCTTGGTAGCCAGACTATGTTTTGGGTGATGGGACAGTTCATGTGTGCTTCCTCTTCAGATAACCTCCTTAAACCCCAGGAGGTGTGCCAACCAGCTCTTATGGTAGGGAAGGCCTGCTGGATTTATATTCTGCATTTTTAGCTCTGAAAATAAAAGGATCTCTGATTTTCTTTTGCCGTCCCTCAAACTTTTACATTATAATTCACTCTAGGATCAGTATTGGTAGAGTAAGAATTATTGTTAAAGCTGTGGTTACTTTATTTATGGTCACTACATAAAAATTGCTAGCTGGAAAAGATAAGCTGTGTATAATTGTAGCTTGTAGTCACAAGGCTTTAAGGAACTCTTAGAACATAGAGAAAATGTATATATAGATGCCAAAAGCTGTCTAAACCTTAAGAATATTTCTTTCAACTGCATTTATCTTTGGACAGAAGAAAAGATCAAAGTTTTTTATCACTGTCGCTTAAAAAAGTGACATTTGTTATAAGGGTTTTGACACCGATTGCCATTTCTCACACACATTTGAAATGTTATGAATGAATGATTTTTTAAATTGTATTTAAACATTGAGATTTTTTCTAAAAATTGAGCACCCTTTTAAATCTTAAAAAATATAATGCAGGTCAAGCAAGGCTCATGTCTGTAATCTCAGCACTTTGAGAGGCTGAGGCAGGAGGATCACTTGAGTTTGAGACCAGCCTGGGTAACATAATGAGACCTCCATTTCTACCAAAAATAAATAAATAAATAAAAAATCATTTAGGCATTATGGCACATGCCTGTAGTCCTAGTTACTCAGGAGGCTGAGCCAGGAGGATCACTTGAGCCCAGGAGTTCAAGGTTGCCATGAACTATGATCATGCCACAGCACTTCACCCTGGGCAAGAGAATGAGACCCGACAAAAAACCAAAAAAATCCCGCAAAAGGTCAGTTAATATTTAACTTTCATTTTAATGCAGGATGTAGCCAAGGATATTTTTTAGAGCATTTACTATATGCCAAGGCATACTAAGATAAAATACAATCCGTACATTTGGTCTAATAATGTAGCAGGACATTTCGGAGTCATTTGTAAACCCTAAACTGATTTTTTAAATTTTTAAAATGTGCTTTATTTAAACTTTGACTCCACTTGCTAAAAATCAAGTCATTGAGAGCAAGAACCATAACACCATTTGAAATACTAAACCATTGGATTATAAAGTGGGGAGTAACTATCTGAAGCAGGTTTATTGCGGTTACCCCATTATCCAGGGATCAAATGTGCACTGTTGGGAATTTCTCTACTTCCTTATGACTTACAAGGCATTGTTCTCACACAGTTTAGTTTGTGTGTGTACATTCACATCAACTGACATCTGATAATATTGATAAATTAGGTAGACAGATTAGATTTGCAGTTGGCAAGAAATCTTTTGCTCTAGTAAGAAACTCATCTAAGACTCCTATGCTACTTGGAGCCTTTCCCTTCCCAGTTTCCGATTAATCATAAGAATCACAGATGGTGTCAAATAGGCACAGAGAGAGAGAGAGAGAGGGAGAGGGAGAGGGAGAGAGAGAGAGAGAGAGAGAGAGAGGGGAGAGGGAGAGAAAGAGAGAGAGAGAGAATAACAAGATGTAAATTTGATTGTGACAGTAGGGTGCTAAAGGACATTCAAGAAGAGAACTGGAGGAATATAAGGCAAAATCTCAGGTCACACTGAGATCATTTCTCTGGAGAGATGGACCCAGCTATCATCACTGCCTTCTAATGTATTACATTAAAAAAAAAGCAACAGTTAACCACAGCTTGAAAGTTAACCACAATTGGATTCATTTGTGAGGAAATGTGAGGAAAATCAGAATTTAGATTGACTTGGTAAATGAAAGCTCACACCTGTAATGTCAACACTTTGAGAGGTCAAGGTGGGAGGATTGCTAGAGCCCAACCTTGGTAACATAGCGAGACCTCGTCTCTACAAAAATAAGCATATATTTATATTGCAATAGGACTGTTCTTGAAAAAAACAAAAAAAGAATAAAATGACAAAACTCAGTCAGTTACCTTGTTCAAGATGAAGCAGGAGGCAGAAGCTGCTGGTAGACTTGCTCAGCTGATGGCAATCTTCCTGCTGAGCATGAGCAGGCGGAAGGAAGGGTTGTGCCACTCTGGCCACACTGGTCCTTTTGAGGTCAAGGTGCCTGGGCTTCTATTAAGCTCTGAGTGCTCATGTGCAAGGAGTCCTCAGGTTCTCCTCGCTCTGTGAGTCACGCCCATTGTGACACTGAGTGATGACTAAATTTGCTCTTGAATGGGTGAAAGAAGCCAAGTAGCTGGAAGTCACGTGTTTGCAAAGGAGTCAGCAGCATCTTTAGTAAATTAAATTTAGTAATTTTCAGAAGAGACTAAAAAATGATCAATAACCTTCATTATACTGTGAGTATTATTTCTTGAACAAATTTAACAGTTAAAATAATGTAAGAGAAAAGTATTTTGTAAGTTGCCTGATGCATTGTATTCGTATGTTAATTTTCAAATCATGGTTAATGTTTATAATCTCTATTTTTTTCTTTTGTTAGCATGCCTTTGCTTATTTGGTATTCCTTCTCTCCTGAGATAGGTGAGTAGGAGAACTCTGGGATTCAATCTTTCTTTTTTTTTTAAAGAATGCTGATCAAGGAGATCAAAACAATTTCATAACACCCAATTTTAGAATTATTTATGGGTCTTAATTTGTGTTTTAAGGTATAACAAGGAGACCTTACTAAAGTGGTCCCTGGAACTGAGACCACTGAGACTAGGAAAGGATGCTGCTCCTCCCAGAGTTGGTCTGTTTCAGAGTTTTGTTTGTTTGAATTCTGGGCCTTCTTTTAAAAAAATTCTATGTACTTTTTTATATTATGATTTTTAAATTGTAGAGTTGTAGGGTACGAGTGAGGATTTACTACATAAGTAAGTTGCGTGCAGGTAAAGTTTGGGCTTCTAGTGGACCCTCTTTTCCCTGTGGGGGAAAAAAAGTGGACCAGGTCTCCAGTGTGTTATCACATGTCCCCCTCCCTCCTTCAACCCTCCCTCCCCTAGCAGTGTACAGGGCCTACCGATCCTACCCTTGTGCTGATGTGACCAGTGATCAAAGCCTGCTTATGAGTAAGAACATGTTTCAGAATTTATCACAGTTGACTTGGCATATCCTGGGACTGCAATGGGAAATACTGAGGCCACAGGTGAGAAGGGGAAGAGAAGGTGCTAACATCCCCTCCCCCAGTCTGCCACCCGCCTCTCTAGTCTCACAGGCAGGTACAAACTCCACTTTACTGATTTTTGCTTTCAGTTTCCTTGTACACCAGTTTATTGCCACACTCCTCAGATTTCCCAGGATCTATATTCCTTCTTATTGTATTTATTATGGTTTATTATGGTTCAGCTGGGATGAGTACATGAACAAACCTATCTATCTAGGTACAGTCTAAACATTGCTATCACCCTTTACATTAAACAGTGGATCTTTTTTCTCCAAAAAGATCAAGACTGAAATTTACTCAGGTAAACATTTAGGGTTCCTCAAGTGTGCCAAATAAACTTCTCCCTTAACACTTCACAAGCCAAAGTAAGGCTTAAAGATAAGACCTCTTAGAGCAGAGGTCTTCAACTCCCAGACCACAGGCTAGTACAGCAGAAGGTGTGCAATGGAACAATGAGAAAAGCTTCTTCTGTATTTATAGCTGCTCCCCATCACTCAGGTTACCATCTGAGCTCCTCCTTCTGTTAGATCAGCAGCAGCATTCAATTCCCATAGAAGCATGAACGCTATTGTGAACTGTGCATGTGAGGGATCTAGGTTACGTGTTTTTTTTTGTTTTGTTTTGTTTTTGAGTTGGAGTCTCACTCTGTCGCCTAGACTGGAGTACAGTGGCCGTTCCCGGTCACCGCAGCCTCACCTGCTGGACTCCGGCGATCCTTCTGCCTCAGACTTCCGAGTAGCCGGAATTACAGGCATGCACCACCATGCCCGGCTGATTTTTTTATTTATTGTAGAGATGAGGTCTGGCTGCCCAGGCGGGTCTTGAACCCGCGGGCTCAGGCAATCCACTCACCTCAGCCTCCCAAAGGCGCGGGATTACAGGCTGAGCCACTGAGCCCGGCTAAGGTTGTGTGCTTTTTATGAGGATCTAATGCCTGATGATCTGAGGTGGAGCTGAGGTGGAGGTGATGCTAGTGTCGGGGAGCAGCTGCAAACAGATGAACATGAATAGTAAGGTTTGACTGCACAGAGACTATAATACATCACTTGCCTGCAGAGTCTTATCAAAATAATAATTTCATAGTAGTAATTATTTAATTATATATTGCAGTGTAATAATAATAGAAATAAAATGCACAGTAAATATAATGTGCTCACATCATCCTAAAACCATCCCCTCCCCTGCCCCCAATCCACAGAAAAATTGTCTTCCACGAAACCGGTCTCTGATGCCAAAAAATTGGGGGACTGCTGTCTTAGTGATATAATATATTGACTTAAGTCCACATGAAGAAAGGAATACATAATTAATATTGGACCTTTTGTGAGCAGGTTACTATCACTGAGAGGTAGAGACAGCCTCAGGTATCTGGATGGTCATGGAATATTAAAGGGAAAAGAGCAAAGAAAAGATTATAACAATAGTACATTCTGCTTCCTTGATGATCTTGTCTAGTGTAGCCCTGCTTCAAAAACTTCCCAAATGGATTTTTTAAAAATCAGATGTTTAGACTGATTTGCACATTGGGAATTAGAATTCTTGCCATCTATCTGGCATGTCCCTCAATTTCAGGGGGCCAGTTAAAGGCTTCAGTTTTAATATATTGGCACCAGGCTCCCTCTCCTTGTCAAATGTTCCTACTTAGGTGATCGGTTAATGAAATCATTTGTTAGCAGCATCGTATCCAGACTGTAACCATATCCAGATTCAAATTCACATCTTAAGTGTTAAGGTGTCTTTCATTTCATATCTTTAATATGCAATCTTTGAAAGTGCTGCTTTGTTCAGAACTCTCCTTACACTGGACTTCTGGTCATCAAAGGTGACATAAAAAAAAAAAAAAAATCCAGAACCAAATTTTCGTGCTATTTTTTCCCCCTAGTTCCTTTTTAAAACAAAAGATTTTACTGTGGATATTATTTTAATGTTGATAAGTGGACTGTAGGAATATAGAGGGAAGGCTAGATACAATCATAAACAAAACGCTGAAAATCCAGTTCTCCTTCTTCTTCTGAATTTATATGCCCTCCATATTTCTGCCCAAGAGTACCTTCTCCACCCTTTTCCAAACAACAGAACACAAGGAAAGTACCCAGATCCAAGGCTGTCTTAGGCGACACACTTCAGGCTTCTTTCAACTGCACTGATTTGGTGATGGTCTTAAGTCATAGATAATTCTAAAATAGGAGTCGAATGAAGAAAACCACTTACTCCAGCATTGCAGGCTATGGTGGCTCCAACTCCTGGAGCAAGTCTGGTGTCTGGTGTCACTCTTGTAGGCCTGACCAGGAGGGTGACGCTGGTTATGGAGCATGCATGGTGACCTTTTCCTTCCTGGCATAATAATATAATTCTCTCTCCCAAGTCACTCCCAATAGAATGTGTTTCTCTGAATTGACTATGAATTGGTGTTATGACTTCATGTTTTAAAAGAAGTATACTTTGTAATTCTTCCTCCTCTGTCAACAGGCATTTCTCTTATCTCTGCTCTAAAAGGAACGTGTTCCTCGGTCCCCTTTTTATACCAACAATGCCTTTGACATTTGAGCAGTTCTATGTAGCTAGGCTTTGTCAAAACCAGGAACTTCGTTACTCATGTTTTTCATGACTCTCCCAGCTGTAAGATGAAGCTGGGCTAATCTTTTGTTCCCCTACACTATATGATTCTTAGTTATACAAATAGTTAGGACCTGAGTCATGGGGATATTTGGTAGACTCTTTGAAGAAAGGATTTTCTTATTTGCAGGACACACATTCTTTTAGCCATACCGACAAGAGATCCGGAGTTGAAAAGTGAGGTGAGGAGTATTATATTGGGAATTATTGTTCCAGAAAGACAGATGGTGCAAGAGAGAAGATGGGTGAGAAAGGAGGTAACAACACAGCAGAAACACTGGGAATTTCCAGCAACAGGGAGGCTTGCAAGAAAGAAGGGTGGAGGCTTAGTAGGAAAATGTGACTCTCACAGAGGGAGGGAGATGGGTACTCCGTGTGACTATCACATGTGGAGCATTAAAAAAATTTTCCCCATCTTAACGGTAATCCTCCTGCTAAATTCCCTGATTTATTTCAATCCCAGGCAACTTCTTTTTCCCAGAATCTTAACTGATAAATGAAATATCAAATGAAATTAAGAGCAGATGCCAGATACATCTGATTGTGTAATATGCGAGTACTATCCAGGGAGAAAGAATTTACTGGCATCCATGAAATGGGGAGGAGTCAGAGATAACTCTCAACTGAGACAACAGTCTTTGACCTTGTTTTGGAGTATTCTGATCTGTTGGTTCTGTGTGAGTCCTATTTGACTGAAGGAATAAGAAGATGAATAGACGGGGCCCTTTCTAAAGGTGTATGGGAACCTTTTATTGATTGCTGAGTAAGGAACCTAATAGAGCTCTTCCCTCTCCTTGAATAAACCCTGCTTCTTGCTGGCTGCTCCTTGAGACAATTTTAGACTGTAGGAGCAAGGGTAATCTCATCCTTTGCTGGTGGATGTATAAATTGCTACAGACTTTTTTGAAAACCATCCAAAAATATCTGTTAAAATAGAAAACATATACTACTTTTTGATGCTGAATTCCTACTCCTAGGAATCGATCCTATAAAAAATGAAAGCCAGTATATAGTATATAAGAGGATATTAGCAAGATGTGACAAAAAGAACTAGCAACAAAGCAAGTGCCCACTAGTAGTGGAATGACTGAGTACATTGTGGTACTTGTGCTCAACGGAATATTATTTTGCAGTCTTTAAAAAGAACAAATTAGAGCTCAAATGCTTGACTTGGAAGACTTTCTGTGATCTCATTTTTTAAGGCAAATAGGATCTCTGCATGTGTAAAAGTATTTAAGTGAATGTAGAGAAAAATATGGAGCAATACACACTGTGCTGTTAGTATGGGTTACTTTGTAGATATGAGGTATAGGTAAAAACAAAGGTGAGGATGAGTCAAGAGAAAAATGAAAAGATTTCGCTGAAAATTATATCATTCAACATAATGCCAGCAAGGAAAAATTCTACCTTCCTTCCTCACCCCTCCAAAAGAACCCAAACAAAAAAACATGAGTCTAATGGAGGCTTTACTCCAA